TCGTGGCAGCGTCTGGCAGCCTCTCCTTGGCGGGGACACTGCTCGTGTCCCTGGAGAACAGCTCAATAGTGAGGGATGGGGGTGAATCAGTGCCCGAGGTTGCTCTGAAGTCCTTTGAAAGGATGGAGAGAACAGGAGAACGTAGGAAAACAGACACCAGAGGCAGGAAAGAATAGCTGTAAATGGGACAGGCGAAGGCACGGCGAGGAAGAACCCAGTGAGCACAGGAAAATAAGTCCCATTCCCAGAGGGAGAGAGGTCAGCAGCAGCAGAAGGACAAAGCGCGGAGAGGGACCGGCGCTCGGTCCCGCGCCGAGAACAGAGCTTTGCTTATGTGTGTGCTGAGGCTCTGCCGACAGCTCTGCCGACAGCGCGACGCGGCGCTGCCCCGGGAGCGCCAGTGCTGGGAGCTCCTCTGCCCGGACCTTCCTTCTGGCTCCCACCCCAAAGGCACCGCTTTGGAAGCCCTTGCAAGGCGGTTTCTTGTGTTTCCCATCAGGAGGGGGACACTTCCACCTCCTCTACCTCTTCCTACAGGAATAACTGCCTTGAAGCACGGGCTGCTCTCTGCACCAGAGCCAGCGCAGCGCCCCGCGTGCAGCCCCAGCCGCGTGGGAGGAGCGTGGTGGGACAGCGAGTGGTGGGGCGGCTGCCCCAGGAACCCCACCTGGGCCTCGGGGCTAAGGCACACGTGGCTCCCAGGAAGAGAAGCCCCAAAGCCCTGCAGATGGGCTCGCCCAGGGAAAGGCAGCGGCCAGGGCCCGGTGCTGAGCGGGCTCCAGCAGCCTCGAGCAGGACCTGCGCAGGAGGTGGCTGCAGAGCCACCAGCTGCTGGAATCAAACACCGGAGGAGCAGAGCACAGCGTCCACGGAGAAATAAACCCAGGAGCTTCCTGAAGCGGCTCATTTTCACCCAACAGACATCGGTCTCCAGTGACAAGAGCTTCTCCCTTCTCTGGCGCAGGCTTCAAGGAGCACCAGAGCTCAGGAACACCCCACGGCCAGCTCGGGCGCGTGACATCGGCCGCTCCGGAGGAGCGTTTGGATCAGTGCTCGGAACAAACTGCCATCAGACCACGCTGGCACGGGCTCTCGCAGGAAGGAGCTCCATCGGCAGGATCCCATCCCAGCCTATGGGGATCACGGGTGGTCTCCTACCTTACAAGAGCTTCCTTCAGTCTGGCGTTTTGCTCCTCCAGCTGTTTGACTTGGTAACTGGACGCCGCTCCATCCGAGCCTGCAGCAGAAAGGAAGCATCGTTCTGCTTGTGCTGCAGCAACAGCGGCTGCCGAGCAGATCCGCTTCTCCTCGCTGAGCGACGTTACAACCACTGGCAAGAGGGCAGCTGTGCCACACCGAGGGGAAAGGCACCAGTCCCTCTCCTGCAGCTGAGCAAAACCAAAGCCTGGTGCTCCACACCGGCGCTCGCAGGAGGAGATTCCCCCAGTGCCACCAAAGACAGTTAGTGCAGAGGATGAGGCTTTGGGCAACCTGGTGCAGTGGAGGGTGTCCCTGCCCATGGCAGGGGGTTGGAACTGGATGATCTTTGAGGTCCCTTCCAACCCAAACCATTCCATGATTCTATGACTCTATGAAGAACCACTGTGCCAACGGCAGACCGTGCCGAGCCGCCACTGGGCTACAGTGGAGCAACATGTTCCTGATACTGTGGGTGCTCCCAGTCCTCCCAATTCCGTGAAAGCAAACCCAAACCAAAGACATGGCTTGTCTCAGTAATTTCCACATCTCCCTGCAGACCACCCCTGTCCTCCCAACACCCTTCCCAGCACCTCGCTACGCCTGCCTCTGTCACACCCCTCCGCTGCCTCATCCTCTGCTGCTTCTACAGGTCTGATGTTTTCCAGGTTTACACACACTCCAAGTGTTTAGCGCTGGCTCGCTTCCCGCTGCGTGTGATTTGAGCTCACCTTGAACACCCAGAGGTAAAAGGCCCCAGGGGAACCACAACGAGGTAACGCACTGGGTGTGGAGCCGTGCTCAGTGCGAAGCTGGGAGGTTGGATCAGCAAGCAACAAAAGCAGTTGTGTCACCTCCCACATAAAGTCTGAACCAGACAAACACCTTCTGAGGCAGCCAAGCATTCCCCTCCCCAGCGAGGAGCTCCCCTGTGCGGTGGGACCCCGGCTGGGACCACCCGAGAGCTGACCCCTTCTCACCTTTCTCCTCGATCTCGTGCTTCAGGATCTCCAGGTCCATCGTGAGATATTCCACCTTCTCCTTCAGGGAGTCCACCTCCTGCTGCAGGGACTCTGCTCGCTCCTCGGCCATCTCCTTGTCCAGGGTGGCCATTTCGATCGCGTCGGCGGTGTCGGCCATCTCCTCCATGTAGCGCTCCTTGGCTTCCAGCGCATCTTTGGCTTCCTGCGGCCAAGCACACAGAGGTGAGAAGACCCTGGAAGCCCGAGGCCAGTGATGGAAAGACCCTTCTCACAAACAACGAGCCTTGGACAATTGTGACTCTCTCCCAAAGGAGGATCAAGTCCAATTAACAACAGCTTATCCGGGCTGGGAGGGGAAAGCCCACTGCCAGCCCGCCAGGGTGCCCACCTCCCCTTCCCAAGGCTTTTCCCCTGCTTCGCACCTTCTCCCACCCACAACAGAGCCCAGCAGAGAAACGACCTGCAGGTGAGGAGACGCAGATATGAAGACACAAAATACAGAGGCTTTTGCTGGAGCAGACAGTCAAATAAATCACTGGGGAAATAAACCAAGAATCCGCCCCGGAAAACCAGGGCAGAGAGAAGCGAGAGCTCCTCTGCCGGCACGGCGAGGTCCCACCGTCTGCCTGGGGGCACCAGGCACGGGTGCCAAGGGCAGGAAACCTGTCCCTGGGGAGAGGGGAAAGAGGGAAATGGGGAAATCCCCACCGTGCAGCAGCCGTTTGGGATGACACCCCAGGGCAGGGCTCAGCGAGAGCAGGGCCACCGCTGGGGAAACGCTGCTCCACAAGGAGCGACACAGATTCCCGTTAGCTCCACAGCCCCGTGCCTTTCACTGGCGGTGACTGGTACCAACCAGCGCTGCAGGGCAGGAGCTCAAACCATTATTAGTCTGGCTACAGGGAGAGGAGCTTTAACGAAGTCAGATCTACATCAGACAGTCAGGATCGGGACTGCCCAGGAATCCACCGGAGAGAGGAGCCCACTCCTGTCTCCAGAGCAGGGACTGGCACCCAGCACTTGCAGGGGCTGAGTTGGGCAGGGGCGGCTCAGCCAGCTGCCCAGGACCCTGCCCGCTCCGGCTGTGCCTCCCGCATTCCCAGGGATGGAGACTCTGACGTCTCTGAGCAACCTGATCCAGTTTGATCGCAAGAAGAAGTTTTTTTTCTTGTGTTTAAACTGAATTTCCCGTATTTCAGTTGGTGCCCCTTTCTTCTTGCACTCTCAGTGGGCACCACGGACAAGAGTCTGGCTCCGTCTTCTTTGCTCCCCCCATCAGGCGTTTGCACCCACCGAGGGGACCCCTCACACCCCCCTGGGTCCCCATTGCTGCTCAGCTCGGACGCAGCTCCAGAGGACCGGATCAGCTGCAAGACCTCCAGGAGCTTACTTCACCTTTCGAAGGTGGGACTGGCAGTTTATCAGCCAGTTTGGGATTTGAACGGTGCCCGTCCCATGGCACTGGCAGACCAGCAACGGCAGATTAAAGCGGAGAACGTGGCTGCTGCCGCACTCGGACACCCGTCCCGCAGGTGGGGATGTGCGACCTGCTCCTCCGCTCGTCGTCCCCACCGACTACGGGAAACCACCTCTGCCATCAGCTCACCTCGCCCTGCGCAGGACTGGAACCGCCCCGCTCGAGGACTTGGCTCCCGGACAGATCGGATGCGCCGGCCTCCGAGGCACAGCAGCAGACGGGGCGGGTGGGCAGCGACAGGCAGAGCAAATGCCAGGACACACAAAACGGGCGGTATCTTGACAGGCCTGTGCCAAGTGCACCCGAGGGCTCCGTCTGCTCTGGCATCTCGGGTGGTCAGAGCACGAAGCTGCGACTTCAGCTCCGGGACGCGCCGGACCCCCGCCCGCACGCCACGGTGCGCGCCGACTGCACCGGGGATCCGTGCCGGCAGCTCCGTGCCTGGACCCATGTTTGCATCGGAGAGAGCGGCGGCACGTGAGGTCAGAGGCTGGTTTAGGACTGGCACGTATTCGGAGGGCAGGAGCCAGGACAGCACACGGTTTAGCGCTCGCCGATATTTCATTAACCCGCCCCCCGCGTTTTCAGGGATTAAATTAGCCCTGGCACCACCTCTCCACCGGAGCTCCCCGGGGATGCTCACCTTTTTGGCCTCCTTTAAACGCTTCTGGAGATCAGCCTGTTGTTCCTGCATTTTGCTCTTCCATTCCTGCACCTGCTCCAGCTGGATCTTGTACTTCTCGAGCTCTTTAAGCTTCGCCTTGTCTTCGTTCCGCTTTATCTTCAGAGTCTCCAACTTCTCCTCCAGGTCCCTGACTTGAGAACGCAAATTTTCCTCCTCCTACAACATCAAGCCAGGAATTACCAAAAGGAGCAGCAACATCCTTTGGAGAGAGCTCCAGATACTTTAATTTAACCCCCACAGAACCTGACCCATCAGCTAATGTGTATTTTGGCGTCGTTACTGGGCCAGTTTGAGGAACGTGTCGCTCTCCAGAGCGAGCCTTGCGGCTGCAGAGTGAGTCTGTCACTTTAATCTGCCGATTTTTACCTACATACGTGTGACAAACGTTCCTTGACACACGGATGGAACCTTTTGGCTGGCAAAAGGCCCCGAGCACCTTGCCTTTGACTTCACTGGGACCTCTGGATGCCTAAATCCTTTAAAAAAAACAACCCCAAAAAACTGCCCCCCCCACTACCACGTCCAAGTTCACCCTTCGGTAACTCTCCTGCTCGCGCTCGGAGCGGAGCGATGACGAGCAGGAAACACGTTTTTCGGAAGCAGAACTGGATCTTACAGAAAGGTGCCACCAAAACAACGTGCACGGCGGTGCAGACCCCCGCGGCCAGTGGTGTTAGTTGTTAGCGTGCCACTCAGAAACGTGCCAACACACACACAGGGCACACCCCAAACCGTGCACTCATGCCACGAGCTCGCTGCGCTCCGGGGAAACAGCTCCCCTCCCGCCCTTTCCCAGCACCCACCCTGCAGAGTAAGGCACTGGGAGGCACTGGGACAGGGCAGGGGGTCTCCCCACCGGGGGGCTGGTGCGTGCTGTAACCCACACTGTGCCAGAGCCAGGGCAGCTCTACAAGGGCGAGCTGGGCACAAGCCTAAAACCTGGGAGCCCTCCTGCCTCGGTGGGTGGAATCCGAAGCCAGTCTCTGCCGGGCACCCTGGATCAGCTCGCACTGGCAGCCCAAGACCTTCTCCCAGGCGTTCCCAGCCCATTGCCCGCCCGGAGGCGGGTGCCTTGGCCGTCCCTGCCATGCTGCCAGCTGACCAGCACTCCTCCAGCTGCACCCCCTTCTGCTCCGAGCGCGTTTGGGCTGCGTTAGTCGGGCTGTGTCGTGAAACCAGCTTTACCCCCAGTAACAGATCCCGCCCGCGGAGGATGCCGACAGGAGCCCGCAGTGGTGCAGGGAGCACCACACGGTGCCGTGGCACCACAGCGGGGTCCTGCGGCGTCACCTCAAGACCAAAGCCAAAGGTGGGTGACATGAAAGCTGGTGAGTGGGAAAGAGGTTTCCAACAAGGTGCAAACGCAGCCCCCTCGTGGGTCGCATCCCCCTGGCTGGAACGGTTCCCTGGCACGAGCCTCCTGCGCTCCGAGGGGACAGGCACACCCGGCTCGCCTGGAAGCACTGGCACGGTTGGCACCGTCCTTCTGAAGGGCTACGCTGGGAGTGGAGAACTGCCCACGCAGGAGGAGAAACGCCAGCCAGGCAGCACAAAGTCACCAGGGTACGGCACAGCCACGTGTGAGCTGCTACCGGAGAGCGAAGCCCTCAGCTCCCCGTTACGGAGGCGCCGGGGCGATGCCGACATGCACGCTTATCAAAGCCGAGCCTCGGCGCGGCGGTCACCTGGCCGTCGTGGAGACTCTGAGATGCTGCCGAGCTGTTCTGGAGACAGAGAACACCTTCGGTTACGCTGGCCTGTCCCAAACCCAACTCTCACAGCTGAAGCACACTCGTGTTTTGCACAACGGGACAACAGCCGAGGTCGGAGAGGAGAGCGGAGGTTCTGATCCACCTCCCTGCGCTGAGGGCATCAGGGGCCTCGTCTGGTCGAGCTCTGCTGTCTCCAAGGACAAGGTCCTGCAGCCCCTCCAGACCCATCCCGGTATCGCCCGCAGCCAGACAGCCCCCCCAGAGCTCTTCACCAGCGCCCGCTCCATCCCACAGCGGCATCACATAATCCCTGGAGAGCTCCCGCCAGGGAAAACCGATCCTGTATTTCCTGGTTCCTTTTCAGCCAGATCAGCTCTCACAGCAGGGAAAGGCTGATGCCAGCATGGCCGTGCCCGGGCAAGGGGCTGCAAGTGAGGGCAGGAGAAGGGGAAGCGTCCCCTCTTCTGGCAGCAGCACGGGGCTAACGCAGCCTCGTGACCAAAGCTTAAAATCATGGAGCTGCCTGACTTTCCTGCCTAGGAAAAAAGTCCTACGCGATGCCACGCAGCGCAGGAAAACCACAGGGTTTTCTCCTCTGCTGCTTTCTCAACCCTGGGCACGCAGATGCCACCAACACCATCAAGGGAACAGTTTTTGCACCCGTTAGACAAACCCGTAAAAAAAACGGGGGCCCCCCCTTCTTCCCATCGGGTGTTGGCTTTTCCAGCCTTTCCCTCGACACGCGACCTCCGAGCGAGCTCTTCGTCCCCTCACGCTATTAATCCCTTGCCCTCGTGCCCCAGATCTTTCACGAGCGCTCGTTTTAACTAATTAATACAAAGCGGGACGGAAGTAATGAAAAACTATTTTAAAGACCAAAACTGGAATAACTGCGCTGAAATAATTATTAGACACACCCAGGTTTGGGAAACATTTGACTCCTCTCAGCGGTTTCCGTATCGGGGGGCAGGAGCCTTCCCAAAGTGCACCCAGCAGTGGGGGGGTGAGTTTTGGGGTCATCCTCGGGATTTAACGCGGTCGCGCTCTCCCCTCACCGGCAGGTTCAGGCTGCGACTCAGAGCCTCCCCCCCC